TATTAACAAAATCTTGACTTATTAGACTTGACTTAAAGAATCAAGATTTATATTTAATATTCAAAAAATTCTAGTAATTTCTTATATAAAATTTTACCATGAAATTCATTTTCAAATATTAAATTTATAACAAAAATTTGTTACAAAGAAAATATAAATCAACTAATCTTACAAAATTTTTATGGTAAAATATTATAAGACAAAGTCAAATATATAAGATAATGTAAATATTGAATTTATTATAAATTCAATATTTTTAATATTTTGAAATATAAATTTTTTATACTTTAGAACTTAAAAATAATTTATATATTGTTTAAAATAGAAATAGAAAAAATAGAAAATATTTGAATTAAATGAATTACTTTTTACATGAAGCAACTTTACTATCAATACAATTAATAAGACAGAATTACAATATTCGATATTTATGTTTCAAGCAATAAAATGTCTGGCCTCAACAGTCTTATTTTCTAAATACAAAATAAACTTTAATTTAAAAACTAAATCTATCATTAAGTGTTCTTCCTGTAACGCCAAGATTTCCAGACAAGCTATACATGACTTCGCTAAATGTACGATCATCAACATCTGCTCCTGTATCTGATGATGGAGTATTACGTGTACGAGAACGGGAACGTGACCTTGATCTCGAACGCTGTCGACCAAACATAGGTGATCGACCAACCTGAAATATATAAACTTTGTTATATCAAATATATCAATTACTCAATTGATACTCAATACATATATCAAATACTCAATTTTATTTTTTTAATTTTCTAATAATAAATATCATACCATATTTAAACTTTGTACACTTTGTCTAAATGGAGATCGTCCTCTTGGTAATGGGCGTAAACTGTTTACAGCACTTCCGTTTCGATTTGGTGTAAGAGTAAGAGGGCGTTGGTGCGTACTAGGACTATACTCATTTCCCAATGTACACATGAAGTTTACATTTGAGTTTGTACTTAATCGCGAAGAACTACAACATTGTATGATTTCAATAAGATTCCAATACAAAATATAAGAAAAAATAAGACTAATATTTTAAAAAGTATCCAAAGTCTTATAAATTTTTTGTATACATTATTTAAAAAAATAAATTATAAAATATGTAAGCATACTTCATTCTCATTAATTTTTGTTCATATTGTGCTCGTCTTTGTGCACGGGCAATCTGATCTGATCGTAATCCACCAGTAGTAAAACGACGTTGAGAAGTTAAAATTTGTTGTCTTCTATCTGTGGATCTTTGTTGGAGTGATAATAATGATTTTCCAGTTTGTGGAACCTAAAAAAATAAATAATAAAAAATTAATTAAATATAAAATGAAATTATTAATTTAATTTCAAATTTATTATCTTTATAATTAAGTGCTTACATGTAATATCAACTTACTCTAAATTGATTTTGCAGAGATAATTTCTGATTCTGTCTTTGAAGCAATAACTGTTTTGCTCTTTTAACACGATTTCGATAAGCAATTTGGGCAGGACTCTGATATCCCAATCGATTATGAACTGAAGTTGGATCGCGTAAATTTGGTAAACTATTTGTTCTTTTTAATGGAGTCTTATTATTGGTAAAAAAACCTCCTTGTGTAAAAGTCAAGTTTGTACGACTTCTACTACGAGTCAGACCAAATCTATTGCCACGACCACGGCGAACATTAAAAGCTCCTCGTGTATTTGATTTTTGATTTAATGTTAAATTACTTCGTGATCGAGTGAGACCACTATTTTTCTTATATCGTTTTCTCACAAAACCACCACGCACATTATTATTATTATTATTATTGTTATTATTATTATTATTTTGTCCAGCTTGCCATGTTTGTTCTTTTTTAGCAGTTCCAGCATTACGCTTCACTCTAGCACCTCTACCCCTGAGTCCACTTCGCCCTCGCGCACTTCCTCGAGTGCGCTTAGCACCAGATTTTCCATTAGCAGTCCCAGCCTTTTTCTTTTTCTCCTTTTTCTCCATCTTTATGATCTCATCTTAAAAGGAAGAAAATTCACAAGGTTTAGTGAGCGTACAGTGCATGAAGTTAATTTGTGTTAAGCTTTAATCTGGAATATGTGAAAAATTTCCTCTTGTATGGATGATGTTGAAAGATAACTCAATATGGCTAATTCAGTTTCTATTTAATTCCTTTAATGATATCAGTTTTTATCAATATTTATTTATTTTAATTATTTCCCTGATTTTCTTCCAATATGTATATGTTTTCAAAATAATCTCATCGAGTATGGTCTAGATACATACATATCTATCAAAATGTTTAAAGTAAATACAATAAAACAGTAATTTAGAATTCCTGTTTATTAATCAGCCTTTAAAATTAAAATGTGTAAATAATTTTAAATATGATATTAAATAAAAAATAATTAAAGTCTCATATATTATATTAAATAAAAATGATAAAAGTATTGAAATATTACAATTCTGAAGATAAAATTTAATTCTTCAAAAATATAACTATTTTGCATAAAATAAATTTATATTATATATTATATATATATATAGATGTATTAAATTTTATTAGGTGTATTTTTATATTATTTTTTCATAATATACTACTTTAGAATTATAATTTTAATATAAAATTTCATTTTAAATGAAGAAAAAAAAAAGAATTATTTGTTACTATGCGAAAAGTATTATTGGCCAATTTAATAATAACAATGTATTCTTTATTCTTTTTTGTATAAATTTCTGTATTTTATATAAATTTTCTTTCTTTTGTATAATTTTTATTTTAATCTTCCAATAGTGTCAATTATTTTTTCTTTAATATTGATATATATATTTTCTTATATATTGACAATTCTTCATGCTTTTTACATTTAGGTGTTTGACATATTTCAATTTTTCCTTTAACTCAATGTATATCTTCAAGATATAATTTTATTACATTGTCTGTTGAGATTATTTGTTCCACTTCGTTTTTCCACTTCAGTTCCATTTATTAAAAATATTACCCAATGTTCATTGTTTAAGGAAATATATAAATATTATACTGCTATTCAGATAATATTAGGATATTATATCAATTATACTGAACAAAAATTAGAATTGAATAGGCATATTATTGATAATATGTTGTAGTAATATTATTTCTTGGAATATTGGATTGCTTCAAAAGTAAATCTTTGTGAAAATCATCTCCTTTTGTATCTAATTATTCATAAAATCTTCATATATAAGCATTAATATAAGCATTAAAATCCAAGAACATATTTTTTCCATTTTGCTTTTAGCAAAAGTTTGTCAAAAAATTCGGTTTCATCTATTGAATATTGAAATGTACCACATATTTTATTTAATAATTAACTTATTAAATAAGTTAAGATATTTAATCATGGATCTTCTTGAACTTTCATGTATTTTTATTCTTTAAATAATTGTTAAACAATCATGATCAGTTGAGCTTTTTATTTTTGATTTTTTGTTTAATAAAAAATGCTTCTGCTAATTCTAAATATCATGAAAAATATATATATATATATACATATATATATCAAAGATAAATTATTCTGGAGTGCAGATTCATAAACATTTCTTTTATGAAAAACGTTTCAACCAGTTTCTTTTGTGATTTAATTAAATTTCAAATTCAACAATGAGTATTACTTGTCACAAATGACATTTCATATATTTTCATATCAAAACACATGGTGCATTGAAAATAAAATCGATTCGAAAATTTCAATGTTTTTATCTCATATATTTAGCGTTTCAAGTCCATCACATCAACAAAGAGAAACTCGAGGAACATGATAGCAGAGATAAAAATACGACTAAAGTTACGCAAACGTATATCTCACGTAATGAGAAAGTTGACTTCTTTTTGTGAAATTATAACTTTGTTTGCGTTATTATCCAAAAGCGTCTCGTTCATGTTCGTCAATTTTCCATTCGATAAATTGTCGTTTATTATTAAAAGAAATCCCTTTCCACCAATCCTAAATCAGTATTTTTCTTAAAATGCATAAATCCTTCATGGCGGCTATACTTTTCTTCTTTATTACTATCCGCCGTAGAAACCCGTACCGTTCGTTCCTATTATATGTATGGTAGAAATTGAATAGTTCTTTTAAAAATCCAGAATGCACACTTATCATCATATTGGTTAATCAATCATCATAAATAACAAAAACATTTTCTTCCAGCAATTGAAAAGACGCAACATATTCTCCCATAAGTAAACAATGATTAAAACTTGTCTGTCTTTTGACTTAAGAATTAATTAGGGAGATGAAACGATTCTGCATCAAAAATTTGTTCGGCGACTGATATAAATTTTTTTCCGAGATTTAGTACCATTAGGTATCAAACGAAGGAAAATAAATGTAGATCTACGTTGTATAATTTCATCGCCATTTTGAATTCGTGCAAAAGAAGAAACAGTAGCCGTACGCTCACCCAGGATTATCAGCAAAACTGCTAGATTTTCGAGACTTTGGCCACTTACCAAGCGACATGTTCACTTTTGCGTCAATCTCAGACATTTTGTTCGTTTTATTTCTGTTTATTTTTCTGAACGCGAAATATACGAGGACTGCAAATAAATCACCCGAATATTTCCGTAACGTCACCACAAATCACACACAACCATATCATACGACACACCGATCGCGAATGAACATAAATGGCTAGTTACAGGAAGTCATCGTCAGATCATACCGGAAATTATGGTTGCTTTTATAATTTGGAATTGATATGAATGCTACTTTTTATAATTAATTTAAATACATCATTTAATTATTTATATATTAAATTTTAAACATACAATTATGTAATTATATAATTATATTGATTTTCAAGAATTTATAATCAAAATTATACATATTCTTTTTTATGTTATTTAAATTTAAACAAAAAAATGTGTTACATAATTTATATATACATTTTTTGAAATATCGAATCTTTTATTAATAAATAAATAATATTTATAAATAAATCATTTATATTTTAATTTTTAAATATAAAATATTTTTTTAATGAATTAAATTTTTTAAACATTCTGATTCTATGTTTTTAATATAAATATATTATATTATGTTTTAATAAAAGGTTATAATTACTTTTTAAATATATTCGTTATAAAAATTTAAATAAGGTTAAACATGGATGAGATAATAATACGTAAAGCAAAACGTGAAGATTGCAAAGCTATTAGAAATTTAATACAGGTAATTTTAATATATAATTTACTTATTATGTATTATAATAATATCACAAAAAAATTTTAAGTTATTACACATTTTTTTAGGAATTAGCTGATTTTGAGAATATGTCAAATGAACCTAAAATTGATTGTACAAGTAAAAATTTTTATTACTAAATGTAAATTATTATTGTTATTGAATATTTAAATTTATATAAAAATATTTATAGTTTTGGAAACTGATGGATTTGATACAGAACACCCTTTGTTTATATGCTATGTAGCAGAGACTAATAAACATATAATAGGATATACAATATTATATTACACATATTCAACATGGTATGGAAAAGCCATGTATTTGGAAGATTTATATATTATACCTAATTATCGAGGAAAACATATTGGTAGCAGATTATTAAAAACCATTGCTAAAGTACATTTTCTAAAATATGTAAAAAAGTATATTATAATAAATTACATGTTAATATGTTATACCCATATATACATATTTGCAGGAAGCAATAGACAATAATTGTTGCAGATTGGATTTTTCAGTTCTTGAATGGAATCCTGCACAAGAGTTCTATAAAAATAAAGGAGCAATTAATATAACAGCAAAAGAAGGATGGCATCATTATCGTTTTTCAGATGTAACTTTAAAAATTTTAGCACAAAATTTATAAAATTTTTATTATGTTATATAAATAAAATTATTTTGATAAATTTTGACAAAATTTTTTTTTTATATATTTGGTAACTCTGTTTACATTCAATTGTTAAAAACAATAGAAAATTATATTAATAGTTTTAAATGAAATAAAAAATAATTATTGCAAAGATATAAATAACTAATGTAGTGTTAAATAAAATAATGGATGATAAAAAAGTAAAGTTATATTTTTGAAATAGATTTACAATATTCTTATATTAAAATTATATTAATATTCATGTAAAAATTAATTTCTATAATTTTAATTACAGGATAATTTTTCTTATTTATTTTCTCCTTCGGAACCATTATTTATTGATGATGCTGTTAGTAAAATTTCTATTCCAGAAGAACCTTTAAAAGAAGAAGATACATTTATTGAAGATGATTCAGATCTATTGTCACATAATCAGATGTGTTGGGAAGAAAATACATATATATCTTATGAAATTATATCTGATTTAACATCAATTGCAACAGATACTTCTTTCAATGTAACTTTTGCTCTACATAAATTTTATTTTGACATAATTGAAATAATTAAAATTTTTTCATTTCTATAGTTTGATCTTCCATTTTCATTATTTGATGAAAAAGCAATTACACTAGATGAAAGGGTTATAAAATGTGTAACTGAAAGTAAATGGAGCTCTCATGCTTTAGATTTTACTTTATGGAATGATGATAAAGCACCTGTTATAAAATTAAGAAATCTTAAGGATATATTATTTGATGATTTAGAATTCTGTGGGTTTGTTACTGATAGATTAATAGGAAGTGGAAAATCATTTTTAACTAAATCTCCTGAAATTGGTCTTTACGTATTAAGTAAATGTATTATGAGAAATATGGTATATTATTTTATATTAAAAAATAATATTTTATAGTATTTTAAAGGATATATATTTATATATATTTTTATATTTATAGTCACTTTCAAATATTACAATGTTAAGTTATCATCGTTATTTACAATATATTGATCTTGCATACAATTATATTTCGAATTTATCACCTTTGGAAGGAGTTCCTTATTTAATGTATTTAAATGTAGCACATAATAGAATGAATACAATTTTAAATTTTTCACCTCCTTGGTATTTGACATATGTAAATTTATCATATAATTATATAACAAAAATGTGTGATATTAGTGATTTCTGGAGTATTGTTCATTTAGATTTATCACATAATGCAATTGAAATCATTACTGGTTTGCAAAATTTGAAGTAAATATACGTCTTTTTATAATTAAATAAAATATAATAATTAAAATATAATAAATAAAATAATTAAATAAATAAATATAATTTTACTTATATATAATATATATATATATATATATTTTATTTTTAGATATTTGAAATATTTAAATTTATCATACAATTTAATTGAATATATTGAAAATTTGGATAAATTAAATATTCAAGAATTAAATTTAGAGGGTAATTGTATACTATCATTTAAATGTGCTATACCTGGTTATGGTATAAATATTTTATCCCATTTGCGAAAATTATATTTAGGATATAATAAAATATCTTCTTTAGAATTTTTAAAGGTAATAATTATAAATTATACATTTATATATATTTAATAATTATTTAAATATTTGAAGTTTAAAAAACATTTGTTTCATACTTTAGGATGCATACAGTTTGCGGGTAATAGATTTAAAATTTAACAGAATCAATGATTTGTTAGAATTATTAAATTTGAAGGGCTTAATATATGAATTAGATTTTAGAGGTAATTATTGCACAAAATGGCCTAATTATAAAGCTGTACTTCTATTTTCTTTACCAAGTATACAAATTATTGATGGTAATAATGTATTTAGTTCAGAAAAGGTATATAATTAAATATCAAATATTGTATTACTCTATAAGATGATGAGATATTTATTTTAATAGATTGCTGCTGCAACTTTATTTACATCACCAATAAATTTAACAGCTGCTCGTACTATCACAAAATTAACTTTATTAGAACAATTAAGCATTCCTAAAATTGACTTACATGTAACACCATATGATGAATTGAGTCCACCTTTGATAATACTTACGGGTCCAAGTGCAGTAAAAAAATTGACCTTGGCTCTTCATATTGCTCAAACTTTAGCAACAAAAGTAATATTCTAATACTTCTTAATATATAAAATTAAAATAATAATTTGTCATAGGTCAAATATTGTCCATGGTATTCAACAAAAAATTCAGAAATGGTTAAAACTGAAAATCCATATTATATTTTTGTAACTAGAGAAGAATTTAATGATATGTCTCGTCGTGGAGAATTTTTAGCAATTCAAGAATTATTGGGACATAGCTATGGATTTCGTTAGTCAAATAAATTAAAATAACAATATTTTTTTAAACATTTTTTCATTATTTATATTTATATATAGATCACAGTGAAATTATTTCCTTAAAATTAGAAAAAAAAATTGGTATCACACAAACAGATTTACATGCAACTATTCAAATGAGTAAAAGATATTCCAATAGTAAAGCAATCCTTGTTCTCACAAAAGATTTAAAAATTCATCATGAATGGATAAAAGAAAAATTTTATGTTTACACTAGTACACTACAAGATAATACAGAAAAAAAAAATAGCAAAGAAAATTTAATTTCTGAAGAAAAGATAATATCTACAAAAAGTGAAATAGACTTTATTAAAGACATATTAAATAATGTATGAATAATTTTATTCTTTTACTATAATTTTTGTAATTTTTATAACTATCTTTATAAACTTGTTTATAGATTATAAATAATCTTAACTTAACTCCAAATATTACATCTATAAAATATATTGATGAAATAGAAACTGATATTTTATTTAAAACATTATTTAATAAAAAAACAGAAATAGAAAAACAGAATGTAACAGAAATGGAAAACAAACTATTACATGATAATAAATTTCCACAACAAGGACTTTTTTCAGAATTAAAAAATTATGAAATTTTGTTAAATGAAAATAAAGAATTACGAGTATTTGTTATTATATAAGGGTTTCTTAACATAAAATATCAATATATCATAATAATTATGTTTTTTTTTAGGTAATTTTAGATGAACAGGCAAATATTATAGTAGAAGATGAAGAATTAAAACGTAAAAGACATCAAGCAAAACTTCTGCAACGTCGTGATACATTAATGCAATTAGATCCAACTGGGGAGCTAGCACTTATTGAATCAATTTCTAGTGAAGAATTACTAATAGAAATAGTTTGTATTAAAAAATTCACTTTTTGTTTTATTAAAATTACACTTCATTTAATTAAAAATATATATGATCATATAGATAAAAATATAAATTTATAATTTATTTTAAGACACCAGAAATGGAAGAACCAGAATATATGAAGAATTTTTATACAAAATTAATATTGCAATCAAGAAACATATATATGGATCAACATCTTAATAATCCTGGATTTTTTTCTGTAGTGGTAAATTCTTTTAATATATAAACAAATTAAATATAAAATTTATCAATATAAAAAAATATATTGAAAGTTTTTTTATAATCATAATTTTTTAGTTATTAACAGATGAATATGATAAAGCATTTAACACACTTATTAATTTTATTCATGAATCCTATATAAATTATTCTTTTGAAAAAGCTGAATCTTTATCTGAATTTACTCATTTTTCAAAAGTTGCTTTTACAACAATGATTAATCCTATTGTCAATGAGATAAAAGAGTAAGTTCTAATTTTTTTTTATGTTGATTGTAAAATGCAATATTTTTTATAAATAAATTTTTAGGTCTTTATCAACATCTATATTAAAAAAAAAACCTTATTGCGAATGTATGGTGTTAATTCATGGAAAGATTTAATGCCTAGTCAAAAAAGTTCAATTAATATTGATAATTAAATATAAGGTGCATGCTTGATTATAAAATTATACATTCCATTATATTTCAAAATATATTCCATTATATTAATAAATTATAATATTTTATTTTCAATTTATAATATTTTATTTTTATCTTTACTAAGTTATTTGTAATTTTATTGATTGATGTACTTATTTAATTATAACAATAAATTTTATAAATAATAGTTACATTAGTATAATAATAAATTTTATGTAGAATGAACAAATTTTTGTTAAAAAATACTTTTATATAAGGAATTCTTAATTTATTTATTTATGTTATGTTATTTTATTCATTTAAAAATATAATAATATAATAATACTATATATATATATATAATTTATACATTTTTAATGTATAAATATTTGCTAAAGAAATATAAAAATAATTTTTTATTTTTAATATATTAATATATTTTTAATATTAATTTTAAATTAATATACTTTATAAAAAACAATGTTACATTTATTAATTTTAATAATTATCTTGTCAATTAATGTTACATATATTATTATATTTTATATATATTAATAATTAATGTTATCGATTTATGAAATTTTTTTTGTTATTATAAATATTATCAATATTATTATATTAATATTAATATAAATATTATTAATTAATTTTATATATAAATATAAAAAATATATAAATATCTGCTTTATTGTAGTTGCATGTGTTCTTTATAAACTTTTCTTTTGATTCTACAGAAAGTTCTACAGAAAATATTAATGATATAATCTTCATTTGAAATACTTATATTTTGATTTATATTATCTATATTATCTTGAACACAATGTTGTACTGTTTCTTCAATTTTTTTTTTTGAATGATTTATAAATGCAATGCTCTTTTTAAACTCATTATTATTTAACTTTTTTCTTTATTTCCGATATTATATTAATATTGATATTTAATTTTATAAGAAGTAACAATTTTATAATAATTAGTTATTGCTTAATACCTTTTCTTTTTTCAGTAGCATAATATATTGTCAACATTTCACAAATGTATACTCAAAAGAGATTTTATACTTGTTTTAAATTTGAAATAATTATAATATTGTGAATAAATATAAATAATAATTCAGAATAGCTACACGAAATATTCGTGATACAGAATTTACTAAGGATTTTTTATATGAGAGAAAAATGTAGAAAATATATTTATAGAAGATGAAGATGAAATATCACGATTTATATCGCATATTAAGCAAAATATATTACATATTGGCATTATTTTTTTCACTAGAAAATTATAAAAATTTCTAGTTAATTATTTAACTTTATTTTTTATAGCATATATTATTATTTTATAATAAATAATAAATGTAAATATGATTATTTTATACAATATTCGTAAATTATTTTATTTAGGATAGTGTATTTCATAAGTTCTATTACTTTGTGAAACATATCATTAATAATTTTATATATGACATAAAAAAATTGTTGAATTATTTTCTATTTCATAGAATTGATAAAAAAGTAATAAAATATACTATTTAAAATGTACTATTCTTTAAAATCATATATTATATATTATCAAATATAAATAGTAATAATAATACATATTTAAGAAAATTATATATAATTTACATTATAATTCAGATGATATGATAGTTTATAAAAATCTCTACATAGTATTTACATATATAATGCATATACAATTTTATTAAATTTTTTTTACAAAATAATATTAAATTGAAATATTATAAATATTGATAATGTCATGTTAATATTTATATTATCTAAAGAAATTTGTTTACTTTATATATATATATATATATATATATATATATTAATATATATATATAGAAGAGAA